CATGAATCTGCGAGAAATTGGGGATTATAGAGGAGGATAAGGTTAAGGTGTTGAATGAAACCCTTTTGATATCGGCCATTACAATGTTGGTTTCAGTTGCAGCCTGCAGGGGTTTAAAGGGGGTGGAACTCCGATCTACTGCCATCGCGTCCACCGTAAAGCTTGTCTTTTGATTTGAAGATGGCACTGTGTTTGGTTGCAGGATCATATAATTCCGCCCCAAACGGATTTAAGTCGATTCATAGTTAAGAGACGTCGATCCCAAATAAAGTGAGATCATTAAAATGTACGATCCTAAATTGTATAACACAAATATAAATATATATTAATTAATTATATGTATATAAATTTATAATTATAAATTATTTTAGATAATAAAAAATTAAACGCAAATATAAGTTTAATGATAATTGACTTAGTGTTTATGAATGTCCTATAATAATAATAATAATATATAATGGTGTATAGTGATGAAAAATAAAAACGATCTAAATAAGACTTTTAAAATGAATTACAACAAAAAATATTGTACCAGTTAAATCTATAAATATCGTATCACGTATCTAAAAAAATATTGTATCGCGTACCAAAACGACCCATAATGCAGATAATATCTCCTCCATCCAACCTAATAAAATGAGTCTCCCTAGGGTTCATCTCAAGTCGTTTTTAAGGATCGCGTGAGTTCCTCCTTCTAAACTCTTTTGAAAGGTTTAAGATTACTATGAGCATGTCCGGGTATAAGAATTCAATATTTGACTGTCCTCTATACCCTTTTGTGAACAGAAAAAAGAACAAAAAAAGAAGTCTCCCCCCATAACTTGATACAGACGAGTATCTTAGACACTCTGCATACTGTCAATTAATAATCACTCTTTTTCACCTTTTGTATGGTACCATTGCAAAATAGTGGCCATTTAACTTTCACATTCACTTACCTTGTGAGAACTCTTTGGNACCAAACGGATTTAAGTCGATTCATAGTTAAGAGACGTCGATCCCAAATAAAGTGAGATCATCAAAATGTACGATCTTAAATTATATAACACAAATATAAATATATATTAATTAATTACATGTATATAAATTTATAATTATAAATTATTTTAGATAATAAAAAATCAAACGCAAATATAAGTTTAATGATAATTGACTTAGTGTTTATGAATGTCCTATAATAATAATAATAATATATAATGGTGTATAGTGATGAAAAATAAAAACGATCTAAATAAGACTTTTAAAATGAATTACAACAAAAAATATTGTACCAGTTAAATCTATAAATATCGTATCACGTATCTAAAAAAATATTGTATCGCGTACCAAAACGACCCATAATGCAGATAATATCTCCTCCATCCAACCTAATAAAATGAGTCTCCCTAGGGTTCATCTCAAGTCGTTGTTAAGGATCGCGTGAGTTCCTCCTTCTAAACTCTTTTGAAAGGTTTAAGATTACTATGATCATGTCCGGGTATAAGAATTCAATATTTGACTGTCCTCTATACCCTTTTGTGAACAGAAAAAAGAACAAAAAAAAAAAAAGAAAGTCTCCCCCCAAAACTTGATACAGACGAGTATCTTAGACACTCTGCATACTGTCAATTAATAATCACTCTTTTTCACCTTTTGTATGGTACCATTGCAAAATAGTGGTCATTTAACTTTCACATTCACTTACCTTGTGAGAACTCTTTGGTATAGTTTCTCAAAATTCTGTTAACTTTGGCTGCAAATAACCTAAACGAAGAGGAAAGGCTTTGGTATAGCCTATAGAGAGAGCTCTAATTCTGTTAATTTTTGACTGTCAGTGACCAAAGAGTCCTTGCTCACAGAATACTAAGGCATGACTTCTTTCTTAGACTTGATATCGCGACATATGTCAGTCGAGAAAACATCTACAAGAGGGTAGGCATAGTGAAACATCCTCCTCAGTATTCATGTCCAATCTTGGCACCGATGGACTTGGTCTTCCTCAATTTCCAATTCCACCAATGCCATTCAAGTTCAATCATTCATCGTTAAATTCTTTGGAGATCCTTTAACTTCAATCATCGATCATTACATTTTATTTGGGACAATATTCAGCAAAATCAGCTCAATAGTTTCACACCATGACAGAAATGTACAATAACCCTCCTTNAATCTTGGCACCGATGGACTTGGTCTTCCTCAATTTCCAATTCCGCCAATGCCATTCAAGTTCAATCATTCATCATTAAATTCTTTGGAGATCCTTTAACTTCAATCATCGATCATTACATTTTATTTGGGACAATATGCAGCAAAATCAGCTCAATAGTTTCACACCATGACAGAAATGTACAATAACCCTCGTTGAGTGCAGGCTAAGGATTCCATTGCACCTTATTACAATACAGTCTCTTAAAACGAAATTCAACAGTTTGTGCAAGGCTAAAGAAGGTTTTGCAATATAAATAAACCTGCAAGGCACAGCATACACATCAACCTCTACTGCAAATATGCAAAGTTGTGCATATAATAAGAGATAATACACATTTTTTTCATCAGTTTGTATAAAGGTATGAATGCATGCGTGTAGAACAGTTGATACGAGTCCAAAGGAAATGATATGTGTGTTATGGAATACCTTATAACATATTAAGCGTGACACTCGTCAAATCAACGCCCTATGTAACGCGTACCCACCCTATACACAACAGAAAGCACACAGACTGACCAAGCCTTGTAGCGTGCATATGCCCCAGTGTAGGTCTCAGAAACACTCAGCTGATAACTGTATGCTTAGATGNACATAGTACTCGTCAAATCAACGCCCTATGTAACACGTACCCACCCTATACACAACAGAAAGCACACAGACTGACCAAGCCTTGTAGCGTGCATATGCCCCAGTGTAGGTCTCAGAAACACTCAGCTGATAACTGTATGCTTAGATGAAAGCAGCACAAGTGTGTGACAGAGAGATGCGAGATGGTTGGTCAAGTGCAACAGAATCAAACACATCGTGAAGAAAAGGAGCGGTAAGTCTAAGAGGAAGGTGGATGGAGGCATTCAAAAGACATGGTGATCTATTTGGCCGTCGTAACATCAAATATAGAACAACTACTAAGAGTTCAACTCACCAAGTGTAAGTGACAGCAAAAAGAACAAGCTGAACGTAAGCAGGTAAGATGGGGCTTTGTCAAGTTGAGTTGACACTAACATGCTTACTCATTTTGACC